CTTTCATGAAATCTTCTGTTTCATTTTCTTTCAAAGGGCTTGTCCTTAAAGATATTTAAGTGTGTAATACATGTCAGCTGACATAAAGGCAAGTATGGGCAGCTCGGTTTTTATGTTACTAGCTGTACCTACAGTGCCTGCCGTACCTATTTAGCAATGGCTGAACGGAATTAATTATGCACACTCCTGATCCAATTCAGACTCTGCCATCAGCTGTGAAGGCACCCATAGCTAATCGCCAACATGCAATGATCTCCTCCCACTTAAGTAGCTGATGCAGCTGTACACCAGAACAAGCACTTCCATCTTTCAATAACAACCATAGCATAGCACAGCTATTCAATTTAGATTGCATTTCTCAAACTTCATTAGTGGTGATATGGACACTCTGTAGTTCATTGTTTACGTCAATAGCTCAATATGAGTCTTGTAGCTAGAGTGGGAACGGTTTGCTATGACAATGTCCACTAGTTTTGCAGTTAAATTGCACCCTGTACATGTGTCAAGCTGCTGCCTTTGCATATGTTGTGTCTTTAAAAGCCATTTTGCGTCCTCTCATGAGGGTGGCATAGTGGGTCAGTGGTAAGCACTGCTACCTCAGTGGCAGGGACCTAGGAACAATTCCAGCCTCGGGCGACTGTGTGGAGTTTGCACATTCTCCCTGTGTCTGCGTTTCCTCCGGCTGCTCCAGTTTTCTCCCACAGCCCAAAGGTGGGCAGGTTAAGTGGATTAGCCATGGGAAATGCAGGATTGCAGGGATAGGGTAGGGGAATAGCTCTTTGTAGGGTCGGAGTGGACTGAATAGCCTGCTCCCATACTGTAGGGATTCTATGACTCTTAACTTGAATCTCTCCAATTAGATTTCTGCCTCTACCACAGCACTACATACTAATGTTATGAATGATATTTTTCATGCTTTTGACTGCAGTGTATTATTCCTATTTATCAACATCAATGTTTTGCAGCTTTGATAAGATACCTGATTTTCCTGCTTCAAAATCCCTGATGCGGTTCCCCAACTCAGTGGTAGGGCCCATTGCTCAGTGTATTAATTGTAGGCCTACACATCATTAATAGTCCTGAACATAAATCACCCAAGCCCTGACATCAAAATAGATTCAAATGTATGTGTGTTGAGTTCTTCCTTTATTTCTAATCCCTAATTGTGTTGAGTTGGTTCAGAATATTACTATCCCACAAAACAAGCTAAGTACTGAAAGGACACTGACAAACAGAAGCAGTTCAATGTCAATTCCCAGGATATATTCATGTTTTACAACTGCATAACTAAACAGTGATACCCATTCCACCTAACTATGATCAGGTTCCCTGTTTCTTAACTGAATAAATAACCGGCTGAAAGGTTTTTCGATCACTAGAAATGGGAACGCTGTTTAGAGCTAATGCATTATTCTAGGGCTCACTTTTATAATGCACTTAACTGGAGGGAGTGTAATGATGCCTGTTTGCTAGTGTCAGGATCCTGCTGCTATCCTTGTGATTTATGTCAGCAAAAAAACATTTCATATTGAATCATAGACATTTGCACTATAGAAATAGGTCACCTGATCCACCAGAGACACATTTATAACTTGCCTAGCTGTGACCCACAACTTTAAGTATGCTAAACAGAAAATACATCATGGACAGAGCTGAGTAATCCCACAGATCAGTGCAAAGCTCTGCAGAACAACTACATTGGGTAGTGAGTAAGGACTAAAAGAAATGGGAGCAGGAGTATGACCCCTTGAGGCCAGCTATGGCTTTTGTGGAACATAGAATCCCTACAGTGTGGAAGCAGGTCATTTGGCTCTTTGAGTTCGCACCAATCCTCCCCCACACCCAAACCCAACTCCATCTCCTTATTCCACATTTCCCCTTGCCAAATCCAACTAGCCTGCACATCCCTGGACACTATGACAATTTAGCATGATCAATCCACCTAGCCTGCACATCTTTGGACTGTGGGAGGAAACTAGAGCACCTGAAGGAAACCCACACAATCGCCTGAGACTGGAATCAAACCCAGGTCCCTGGTGCTGTGAGGCAGCGCTGAGGTACCGTGCTGCCCTTTTAATGTGATGTTAGCTGATCATCAATTTGAGCTCCATGTTCGTGCCCATTCTCTCTATCTCTTGACTCCTTGAGAGGTCAAAAATTGCAGTTTTAAATGTGTTCTAACAATTGAGCTTGACCATTCTCTGGGATATGCCGTTTGAGTGAAGGAATGTCTCTTTACCTGAGTCCTAACTGATGGGCCTCTTATCCTGAAACTAAGCAAAGAAAACAATTTTGTCAGAGTCTACCCTGACAAATCTCTTTAGAATTGTGAACGTTTCAATATTTCTCTCATTCTTGATCACCTTTCATTCTTCTAAATTCCAAAGAATATAGAAGCAATTTATGCAGCCCCTCAGAATGGCTTCATATTACCCATTGTGTACATGTAACTTGAATTTAAATTCTCAAGCTCTGGAAACTACAAAAGTCAGAACAACTGGAGTAGAGATGCGTTGGTTTTACCATCATGTAATCCTTTAACTCTCTCCTCTTTGGTTCTTCCCATGTTTTTCCACATCCAATGGTATGCCTAGTGTTAGTTTTCCTTTTTTTCCATCTGTCTACTTCTAACATCAAAACCCTGACTGGTGTAGTTGAGTCACTTCATTAAAACTGAAGGGATTGAGAAAGTTGACCAAGCAAACAATCCTGTATTAAATCACCAGGGGTCACGTCATCAGTCACGTCATCTCACAGAATCATAGAATGATATAGCAACATTGGCTCATCATGTCTGAACTGCCAAAAATAACTCTAAATCTACAGTCGTCTCACTTCCCTACACTTGGCCCAAAACTTTGTTATATTTTAAGTATTCAAACAAGCACCTTTTAAAGGTTGTGAGGTTTCCCACCTAAGTACCTTTCAGGCATTGTATTCCAGATTCCCACCACCTTCTGGGTGAAAAGTGTATTTTTCCTCAAATCCCCTCCAAACCTCCTGCCTTTTACCTTAAATGTGTACACCTTATTATTGACCCTTCAACAAAGTGGAATAACTGCTTTCTATCCACACTGTCCAGGCCCCTCATTATCTTATACCCCTCAATCATATCCCCTCTCAGCCTTCACTTCACTTCTCTAAGGAAAACAAGCAAGCTTACTAAGCTTCTCTTCATGGCTAACCTGTTCCATCCCAGACAACATCATGATGATTCACCTCTGCACCCCTTTCAGTACAATCCTTTCTATAGTGGTGACCAGAACTACGCACAGTACTTCAGTTATGGGCTAAGCAAAGTTTTGTACAGCTCCAAAATAATCTCCCTGCTCTTATACTTTATGCTATGACAAATAAAGGTGCCCCTAATGCCTTCTTATCTACCTTTATTAACCTGTCCTACCACCTCTAGGGATCTGTAGACAAGCACCCCAAAATCCCTGTGTTCCTCGGAGCTACCTACTGTACTGATGTTTATTGAATGCTCCCTTGTCATGTTACTTCTTCCAAAGTGCAAATATACAAAGCTAAATGAACGAAAAATCTAACAAATCTCCAAAATGATCGACCAGTTTAGAAAATGTCCTGATTGTAAGCCTATGGCATGAAAGAAAAGCAGTAACATGGGATTGAAACTTAAACTATTCTAATCCAAATATTGGAGCAAGGACAAACATTTTGTTGAAATAAGAAGTATCCTTGGGGCCTTTGCTGTCATAACTTCAGCAAAACTTTGGCAGAACCTTTGTAAGCACACAGACAGAAATTCGATCAAGTTGTGGTAGCGGGCCACCTAGTAGCTCCAGTGAAATTCAACTCCATGATCAGGCTTTTTGAGAAATCTCCCCAGTAACATTAGAGTTCTGAAACTTTTATTCCAATATTTCAGAATCTACAATGAACATAGAGATTGCAGTTTTGCCATCTATAAAAAAGGACATCTTTAAATGGAAAAAAAAACTGCAGAAAGCTGCAACATAAAGGGACTTGGGGTAATTCTTCACAAAGCCCAGAAAGCCAGCACACAGGTACAGCAGATAATCAGGAAGACTAAGGGAATGTTGGCCCTTACTTAAAGGAGTTGGAGTATAAGAATAGGGATGTCTTACTGCAACTGTACTAGGTACTAGAGAGACTACATCTGGAGTACTGAGAGTAGTTTTATGCTCCTTTTTTAAGGAAAGACGCTTCATTGAAAGCAGTTCAGGGAAGGTTCAGTATGATCAATATATATTATGGAGGAATTGTATTATGGTCAAAGGCTAAACAGCTTAGGACTCTACTTACTAGAGTTAGAAGAATAAGAGACACTCTCTTTGAAGTATTTGGGATTCTTAAGGGGCTTAACATGGTAGACGCTGTGAGAATGCTTCCCCTTATGGGAGAGTCTAGGACCAGAGAGCATAGTCTCAGAATAGAAAGACTATGGCCAATTTGAGACTGGAATTAGGAGAATTTTTTTCTCTCAAGTTGTAAGTCTTTGGAACTCCTTGCCACAGAGAGCTGTGAAGGCTTGTATGTATTTAGGGCTGGGACAGATAAATTATCGATAAGTCAGAAATCAAAGTTCACAGGGAAAATGCAGGAAAGTGGACGTGAGGAATTCTGATTAGCCATGATCCTATTCAGTGACAGAACAGGCTTGAGGGGCTGAATGGCCCACTGTCCCTAGTTCTTATGGTCTCGTTTGAAAAGATGAATTACTCCTGATTGCATTTTAAAGTATTCAACAACAGATGAATCACAGAATCCCTACAGTGTGGAAACAGGCCATTCGGCCCAACAAGTCCACACCACCCCTCCGAACCAGCATCCCACCCAGACCCATTCCCCTACGCCTGCATTTCCCATGTCTAACCCATCAAATATAAATATCCCTGGACACTAGCCAATCCACCCAGCCTGCACATCTTTGGACTGTGGGAGGAAACTGGAGCACCCAGAGGAAACCCACGCAGACACGGGGAGAATGTGCAATCTCCACACAGACAGTCGCCCGAGGCTGGGATCAAACCCAGGTCGCTGGTGCTGTGAGGCAGCATTACTAGCCACAAGGTGTGAAGTTTTTATTTGTATTTTGAAAATAACTGTGTCCTTTCTAGTTTATCCTCAGGTAGATAGAAAGAGAAATGGTTAAAAATTGCATGGGAGTGAGCATGCCAGCAGAATGAAAATGCCCAGGTGGTTCACCAGTCAGAACAAGTTTGTTTGTAGCATGAGATTGATGAACTCTTCTATGTCAACTGTACCATCACCATTCTTGTCCACTTTCTTGATCATCTCCTGCAAGTCCTGGTGTGAAAAGTAGACACCTGCAGATTTACAAGCATCTTTGAGATTGTCAAAAGTAATCTTTCCATCACCATCTGCAAGTAATCATATTGAGACATTTATATAATGAGTAACATCTCTTTTTGATTTTTGCTTTTATTATTTTTCTTAGCAATCTTGTGGTCAGGGAGAGAAGAAGATATTTGTAACAGATACCTTATTCCTCTAGATCTGCTCAGAAACTGATGGCAGGACCTTTTATGCATAAATTAAGTATTTGGGCAGCAAATCACACCACAACATCAGATGTTGACATTCCTGGAATGCTGCACTGCAAACGTCAGTGAACCTAATTATTCATAGTTGCTCAAAGCTACAGAAAGCATTTCTGCTCTGTCTTCCTTGATAAGGGAAGGGTGTATTGTATGGAATTACAATTGGCTGGCAGGCTTTATTGACGGGGACAGCAATTTGAGTGAGGGATTTAAAAGAACTCATCCATGTAAAATACCTGCATGTAGTGGCTTTAGAACTGAAAGAAGGAGAGAAATTACAAAATGCTGACATGACATTTAGTTTACCAAGCGACGGAATGCCTAATAGGAAGATATTGATGGTTACATTTGATAGGTTGAATTAAACAGTTTAGATAATAGACAGCAGTTTGTTTTTGTAAACAGTCATTACTAATACTACTGAGTTGCTGAGTGTCACTTTGAAGGTTACATAAGCAGTGGTGATATCAGATTATTATATACAAAGAGCTGGCAGAATAGCATAAACTTCAGTTGAACTACGCAATCACTAGTTACATTCATATAGCTATCACTATTTAAAACAAAATCTCACATGTATTGTAAGGAAGTATGATATCAAAGAAGTTATGTTACTGGGATTAGTAATCCAGCTGTTGGGCTAACGATCTAGTAAGCATGAATTTATATCCCACAAAGAATTTAAAATCAATTAAATAATCTTGGGAAAAGAATGTTCAGATCAAAAATGGAGATCATAAAACTACTGGATTGCTGTAAAACCCCAAATGGTTCATAACAAAAGAAAGACTGTCATTTATATAGCACATTCATGATTAACTGACATCTCAAAGTGATTGAGATAAAGGATATTATTAAGTTGGAGAGAGTTCAGAAGAGATTTACCAGGATGTTGCTAGGACTAGACAGTTTGAGTGAGAGGGAGATGCTGGATAGGCTGGGACTTCTTTTCACTGGAGCACAGGAGGTTGAAAAACCTTATAGAGGTTTATAAAATCATGGGTATAGATAAGGTGAATGGCAGATGTCTTTTCCCGAGAGTGGGGGATTTTAAGACTAGAGGCCACATTTTTAATATGAGAGGAGAAAGATTTAAAAAAGACATGAAGGGCAATTTTTTTTACACAGTGTGGTTTGTGTGTGGGATGAACTTCCTGAGGAAGTGGTAGATGGGGTTACAAAGTTTAAAAGACATTTGGATAAGTACATGAATAAGTAATGTTTGGAAGTGATATGAGTCAAGTGCAGGCAGGTGGCGCTAGTCTATTTTGGGATTATGGTTGGCATGGACTGGTTGGACCAAAGGGTCTGTTTATATACTGTACGACTCGATAACTGTAAGTACTTCAGAGCAAAATGAAATATTTTTGAAGTGTAGTATGATGAAACCCAACAACCAGTTTACACACAGCAAGATCATACAACCAGTAAAGCAATATTGACAAGATTGTCTGTTCTTGGATTATCAATTGAAGGATTAATATTTGTCAGGATATTGGGGATTGCTCTTTTGCTTATCTTTAAATTTTTGCCATGATTTTCTTTTCCAATTGGACCTCAGCTAAAAATTTGATGCAAAAGACAGATGTTCTTTAGTGCAGAGATCTACTACTTTTTCATTCTGTATTATTGTGCCATGTTGTATGCTTCAATTTTTGGTCCGGTGAAAATTCCTGCTCCAGTTTTGAAATTTGATCTCATGTTACTTACCGCAGTCAAAGAGACTAAATCCCAGTTTAATCTCCTCGTAAGTGTCTCTGGAATCTCCCTGGTGCTCCATTACAATCTGAAGGAAATCAGAGAAACTTACTCTCCTGTGGAAAATACAAAATTCAGTAACTAGTGAGGTTTTCCAACACAAACACCCTCATTCTACTCCAAAAAAAACCATAGAATGCAGCAAAAAAAATTGTAGCTGATGTAAGACAAAGACAATTGAACCATAAAGAAGGAAGATGGAAGCTATTAGCTTCCCGATTTTCTCAGTAAATGGGTGATATGTGGTGGTGCACTGAACAGACAAGCTAATGTGGTCCTTTCACCTCGTCTATACTCATATCAGACAAATTGGTATTTGGCTCCTGTATGTCTGGATTATGAAGGGGATAATATCAACCAAATTTCCACTCCTGAGCTGCATTTATTGGTATCAGCAACAACCTGAACAAGCAGTGGATATCTTAGAAGCACAATGGTTATCCCTACTGTCAAGTAACCCATGAAATTTTCCACCTTTTGTGATCCCCTAAGTGAAGATCAAATTTGCAGGTAAGGATTACAAGAGTCATATAGCCCAAAGCAGGCCCTCCAGCCCAACAGGTCCATGCCAACCAGGTTTCCTAAACTGAATGAGTCTATGTTTGACCCATATCGCTCTAAACCTTTCCAATCATGTACCTGTCCAAATGTCTTTGAAACGTTGTAATTATTCCTGCCTCTACCCTGTCCTCTGGCAGCTCGTACTATATATGTGCCAGTTGGTACCCATTTAAACCCTCACCAACAGAAGTTAGCACTTTCAGAAAAAGTGTAAAATAAAGGGGAACAGAAAGCAAATGCCTGTTTGTGTAATACAAAGAGAGCTGGAATCAGAGTGTTAAGTGCCACGGGGAAATGTGGCCATAATGACACTTACTCTTCTTTCAACATTCTCAAATTCCTCATTGTTTTCCTCAGCTCTTGATGGTTGACAAGAAATCCTAGGGTCTGCAGCGCTGTACAGACTTCATTTGTACTGAGATACCTGAATAAAATAAGTAATTAGCATAAGTGAAGCATTTTCCTCTTAGATAAATTAAAGTTCCATTAAATTCTGACTGTACTTGTTCACTGTTTTCAATATGTGTGGCTCATTAGAATTGATCAAAAAATCGTTCTGCTTTAGCAGAAACAGCAATATGCATTTCTATAGTGTCTTTAACCTAGGAAAATATCCCGAGATGCTTCAGCACCAAGCAATATGAGATACTGAACCACATGAGAAGGTGTTAAGGAAGGTGATCAAATGCTTGATCAGAGAGATCAGGTTTAGGTGCATCTTAAAGGCAGGCAGAGAGGTTTGACACAGTAAATTCCAGAGCTTCATTCCAGATGCTTGAAAGTATTGGTGGTATAATTAGAATCTGATCATATTGGCAGCACGGATATCTCCTAAGAATTAGGAGCAGAAGTAGGCAGCTCGAGCCTGCTCCACCATTTGATACAATCATGGCTAATCTCATCTCAGAGGGCTTTTTAGAGCTGGAATAGGTTACAAAGATGGAGAGGAGAAATGTGAGGAGAAATTCAAAAATGAGGATGAAAATCTCAAACAGGAACCAATATAGGTCGAGCACGGGTGAATGGAAAGGAGGTAAGATACACGTGAAGATCCATTATTTGCAGAAATGGCTAGTCACAGAGGGTGAGAGGTTAGTAGTGCTGTTAAGGACTCTTGGTTATCCACAACTTACCCACTAAAGAATACAATTGCTTCTACTTACTCTGATATCATTGGTCCCTTGTACCATCACCAATAAGAGACAAACTAACCACCGCCCCAATGGTGTTCAATGGTGTTACCATCATTTAATCCCCCACTATCAACATTACCATTGACCAAAAACTCAACTGGACTCACCACATTAACAGAGTGGCTACAAGGGCAGGCCAGAAGCTGGGAATACTGCGGCGAGTAACTCACCTCCTGACTCCTCAAAGCCTGTCCACCATCTACATGGCATAAGTCAGGAGTGTGATGGACTACTCCCCACTTGCCTGGATGAGTGCAGCCCCAAAAACACCAAGAAGCTTGACACCATCCAGGACAAAGCAGTCCGCTTGATTGGCATGACACCCACAAGCATTCACTGCCTCCATCACCGACGCTCAGTAGCAACAGTGTGTACTATCTACAAGATGCACTGCAGAAATTCACCAAAGATCCTCAGACAGCACCTTCCAAAACCATGACCACTTCCATCTAGAAGGACAGGGCAGCAGATATACGGGAACACCACCAAGTTCCCCTTCAAGTCACTCACCATCCTGATTTGGAAATATATCACTGTTCCTTCACTGTCGCTGGGTCAAAAACCTGGAATTCCCTCCCTAATAGCATTCTGGGTCAACCCACAGCAGGAGGACTGCAGTGGTTCAAGAAGGCAGCTCACCATCACCTTCTCAAGGGCAACTAGGGATGGGCAAGAAATGCTGGCCAGCCAGCAACGCCCATATCCCACAAAAATGAATAGGAAAAAAACTTATGTCTCAACACGGGCTCAGCGATATGGTGACTGACAGAATTAATTGCAGGTTAATTTTGTTGAATTTCTTAAGTGAAGGATTTTTTCTCTCCAGCTGTTGCACCCATGAATTTTGTTCTTTTTTCTCATACTCCTGGCTTGACACCATTGTGGAACACATTCTGGGTATACATACCCACACTGGCTGCACAGGGGCATCATCAGGACTGAGGCATAGTTAAGAGGTTGTTGCTGTGTTTACTCAGATGTCAGGCATCTCCCTTTGATTCTTCATCTCGTAAAGTTGTACCCATAAGTGAGCGTGCGTGTGTGTGAGAGACGGAGAGGGAGTGTGAGTTTATACTTGAGACAGTGTGTGTACGTGTGCGTGAGAGTATGTGTATAGAGTGAGGGTCTGTTTGAGTGTGTGAGCATGTGTGTGTGAGAATTTGTGTGTATGTGTGTGGGTGTGAGAGTGTATAGTGTGGTGGGGTCTCCTGTAGTGTGACATGAACCCACACACACACATTCCCTCTTGCTCCTCCACACACACACACACACACATTCCCTCTCTCTCCTTCACACACACACACACACACACACACACACTAATCTATGGGGTGAATTTGTCTTGCAGATTTGTAATTGTAGATACATTCTATTTTGTTCAAACGGCACACAATTTGTAGGCAGTCAATGTGGCATTTCATAAATTCCTACTTTGGAAATAAAACCAGTCTGACTCCAAGTTGATACACATCCAGATTCTAAACAAGGCCTCACACCTAAAATGCATTGTCTGACCTGGAATGTCACCTCTGGTATACAAAGGGAACTGATAAGACCTTTATTGTCTTGGGACACTGACTTGAAAGAAATTCTGGAATTTTGCATATTCATCCTTTCTAACTGATTAAAGATTTAACAGACATCTTAGATTTGGTCAATACTGCATCAATTCTATGACCCTTTGATCTTTTGCTTATAAATTCTGTGTCCGATGCCACCTCTCTCACTGGTACCTGAGAGAAAGAGCAAGACTCAGAAAGCTTGTGTCTTCAAATAAACCTGTTGGACTATAACCTGGTGTCGTGTGATTTTTGACCTTGTCCATCCCAGTCCAACATCAGCACCTACACATACAATATGTAGACTCTTCATTTGCAATATTTCAACGGGCAGCTACATCAAAAAAAGTTACTTCTGCTCCTGCTTACACGTCTCAGGAAAATATATCCACCATTAGATGTGATTTTGTCATTGGAAGTCACTTGTTAAATAATCCAGACTGCTAAGAATTATTGGAAGCCAGTTTAAGATCAATAGGATGCTGTAAGAATGAGAAGCCACACACATAAATACATACTAAACACCAAAATTCCCAGTATTTTGTTTTTTGCTTTGAGGTCCATGTATGGCAGCAACTTCCAGAAGTAGAAACCGGGAACTGGAACATTCATTTACATGGGTAGAATTTCCTGGCACCTGTGCATTTCCATAGGCAAAAGCATTTTGTACATACATTGTATCTGTTTTATAAATAAGGGGCATGGAGTCGGCTAACCTCTGCTGCAACTCCTTGGCAACTTCTGGAACAATCGGAACCTACCCACATTGTATGAAAATTAGATTGACAGTTAACTATTCTTACTGTATCTCC